AGCATAGATTAAAATCCAAGCTTTAATAGAAATTAAAAATTCCGGACATTTCAAGATAAAATCGAGCCATTCAAAGCCAAGGAACAGCTCACAAGCTTTTGAAATATCAAGAAATAGAGCCAATATATGCCTTAAACAAGAACAATAACATAGAGAGTATATTTAGGCCCTCAACTTAAGTATTCCAAGCATGAAACAACTTCCAACAGGTATTTAAACAAAAGGATGCCTCATGAGGGGTTAAAACAAGCCACCAAAACAATTTATAGGACCCTCCAAATCAAAGAAATTCCCTTTTTTTATAGTATATGTTTCGAGCAAGGCAAAGCCACAGGAGACCAAAACCGAACCCAACGAGGGCCAAAACCGAGTCATTCAATGGCTAAAACAACTCCCCCTCAGCATGTATTTTATATAAACAGGATAGTATGAAGTAAAGAAGTATGCATAAATCTCAAAGCTAACATTTCAAGGCCTCCAAAAATTCCTTTTCTGAACCAATACTTGAATGAGAAAGAGCAGTGATAAATCAAACACCAAGCCTTCACGATAAACTTCAAGAGACTTCCAAAAAAAAATCTTTTCATACTCCATATAGATTTCGAACAAATGAAGCAACCACAGGAGCTAAAAACGAGTCCCACATGCGTGAAAGACCAAATAAGCCTTCCAATATCTCATGCTAGATAAGAATAAATGAAAAGCTTCATGATACATATCCTAACATGCTTGCAAAAGGAGCTAACATTGTCTTAAAGTCATGTTTCAACCCTCCTAATTGTTTTCAATAGAAATATGCTACAATAAATAAAAACATGCCATAGCTTCACCACTTTAAGCAAGTAATCAAGTCTAACTCCTAGAACATGCTCACATTTTCCATTTCTAGATGCTTGAGTACCAAGTATTTCAAAAAAAAAACATATATATAAGTGTAATATCACGTAAGCATGTTGTATCGTCCACTGCACTAAGCTAAGGGGCTCGACGGAGAGAAAACCGAAGAAAGACAAGGCACAAAGGGGGGAGAAAGTACCTCCCTGAAGCAAA